CACACACACACTCACATGCACTACACTAACACACTTGTCGGGACATCACTCGGAGGCTTAGTCCCGCCTGGGGCGGCGCCCTACTTGTGGGAGATACCTGGTTGGTGAACGTCTCTGCAAACCGACGAGTAAGTCTGCGCATGAACTCGTCATCCAGCTGGGGTAGTTCACCGGCTCCTCCCGCGATAAAACCATGCACTACACTTACGATCTTAGCACTTGATGCGTCCGAAATCACTAATTAATCTATCTATCTATCTATCTATCTATCTATCTATCTATCTATCTATCTATCTATCTATCTATTCTAATCATCTATCTATTCTATTATCTCTATCTATCTATCTATCTATCTATCTATCTATCTATCTATCTATCTATCTATCTATCTATCTGTACAACTTCCCAGTGAACGCCGTTGCAGACGCAGGCTCAGTGCCTTTGTAGCCCGCGGGGGCGGCCGGTGGCGGCGCGCGCGGTGAGGGGGCGAAGTGCAGGGGCGACGCGCCTATTTCCCGCGCCGTAACTCAGCTCCGCCCGGTGGCGCGCAGGACGCCGCCGGCAGCCGCGTGAGCGCGGGGCCCCGGAGGGGGGGGAGGGAAAAAGCGCCCGGAAAACCGTAATATCCCACGAGCGCCGCCCCTGACAGGCGCCAACAAATCGTCCTCGCCCCCGCGTCCTCGTCCGCGCCCATCGCCGCTCTCGCTCTCGCCCGCGCCGCCCGCAGCTCCCCAATAGGCAAGAGGGGACGAAACGCAAAAAAAAAAACAATACAGAAATAAATCTTCCACCCACTGCAAGGCGACACTGGTGAAGTCACTCGTGTCATGAAGTATTTCATGATGTGCTTGAAACCCATGTTGGGGATGGGGGATTCGATGTGTGTGTACGATACTCTGTCCTGTCCGGCTGTTTGGTTCGTCAGTCCGATAAGGGCCTTCGCCGACCAGCGGTGTCCCAGCTTCTTGGCCACCGGATAAGGGGTACGTGTGGTTGACACGAAGACATCACGCCACTGGTCTTATTTGCCTAAGTATGGGCTTTCTCATCGTCACAGCACAATAGATATTGGGACTTTTCTAAGGAAAGCGCACAGTTATAATTTGGCTCGGCCGGGAATCGAAGCCAGAGTTGCGCCGTCAAAAGCGAGCAAGTTCACTAACGAGCCACCGAAGGCGCGTATAAGATAATCTTGTTAACTTACATTCTGCCATCACATCGCCCATCATTCTTTGGTGGCAGACTTGGCTGTGGCCAAGATGTTCAAGATTCAAGTGTGGGCGTCGGATTTTCTACAGCAGCAAGATAGGTAGACTTTATCAGCTGACCTTGAGAATTTCAGCGTCCGACTGTTCTGGTCCACAGTTTTCCATGTCTTCTCCGATAAATATCAGGCAAATACGGGGTCAGAATCGTATCAATTGGCCATGGATTCTGAACCATCTTTCTTTCCTCATCCTCTTATGTTACCTTACATGGAGTTCAGCCGCTGTCTGGAGAATTTTAGAGGCCGGTATTGTGCGTGGTTTCTGCGATCAACACCAGGCGGATGCCGGACCAGTACCTATGAAACTGGCCACAATTTCCGCACGACCTTTCAGCCCTCTTCTTTGTTTTATCCTCAGCACGTAGTCACACACACTGACATGCATTACATTACCACACATGCCGGCAGACCATTCGGGAACTATCAGGTGGGAGAGACCAGGTTTAGGAAAACCTCGGTAGCCGACGTGCCGGACGGAGTCGGATCTGACTATTCAGCTGGCGGATATCACCACCACCTCCCTACCGTAAGAACATCTTCTACACTTACGGGACCATTGTTCAATGTAGTTGATGGGAAGCATGACAGTCGCTTGAATCGCTTGCTCTGGATGCAAAGCCGTGCATGGAGGCCAGCCGACAACGTGGGAGGGAGCTCAAGCTAATGCGAGTATTTCAGCGTCTGTTCTGCTCTCCCCTGGAGACGAACGGGTTGCTGTCTTGAGGAGAATTCTAGCGGCTGGCTGCTCTGATTGGTAATTTTCCGTGGTTTCTCCTATCACCACCAGGCGAATGCCGGAGCAGCACCTACGGACCGCGCGTGATCTTTCTTACCTCTTCCTTCTCATATCCTCTCTCCTTACACACATACACACTACAACGCACTACACAAGCACACATGCCGGGAAACCGGTCGGGAGCTTACAGCTTGTCTCGGCTGGGGCGGTGACCCGTTGGTGGGAGATACCTGGTTCAGGAAAACTCACTAGCTGACGGCAAGGTATTGTAAAATAATGTACATGTATTATATGTGAATGTTTTGTAGTGAGTTGTTGATACTGTCACCTGATTAATATGATTACTACGTCGAGTGTTGTAGTTATAGACAACGGCGTTTGCTAAAAATATATTCCCGCCCTTAAGTAAGTCATTTTTGACAAAAACCACTGATTCGAATATCAAGGGACAAGGTAATGATAAAATACCTAGATGAATAAAGAGAGGCTTGCAAGAATCACGTGAGTGGGATTTACTTATTGTTCGTACAATCGTTTTTGTAGTCTAAAAGTCTGGGAGCTATAAGATGTATTTCCCCAGTATATTATGCCATATTTCAGGAGGGAATGAACATTCGCGAAATATACACAACGAGCAGTGTGTAGGCTGACTGAATTTAAAAGAATTCTGAAAGCGTATCATAAAGAACTTAATTTAGTGTTCAATTCATTTAAATGGACGTTCCATTTAAGATTTTACTGAATTGAAAGACCTAAAAAATTTGTTACCTTAACATCAGTCTATGGCACACCGTTCATTTTCAGTGAAGTGCAGAGCTATTTATTTGAAATGTAAAACTGCATTGAAACAGTTTTATTTTCATTTACTATTAATTTGTTATTACGGAACCAATTTGAAATATCTGCTATTGTACTATTTACGGTTTTATTATTGCAAAGAATATTCGTATCATCCGCAAAGAGAATTGTTCTTCCGTTTTTAATTCTCGAGGGCATGTCGTTTAAATGTAGAAGGAAGAGAATAGGGCCTAAAATCGACCCCTGCGGGAGCCCTGAGCCCTATTGATACCCTGAGCCACCTTTGCCAGAGCTTCCTTTGTTCGCCTCAAGATATAATCCTCTCATTGACATTTAGAATGACACATAGAATATTTTCTATATGTTCTATTATATACTCGAATTTGCAGTTCCTCTGGATATATGTAATATGTAGCAGGTGTGTGTAGAAACATGCAAAATTTGGATATTAGAGTGTTAGCAAATACTGAGCAATATTAAATTGTTTGCCCAAGTTCATACCCGCGTTCGCTAGGAGTATCTGGAGACTAGCGTACACACTAATCAGGGTATGGCAGTAAAAGAAGATACCCGTACTATACAATGTAATGAACAGTTCAGAGCCTGCCCGTTCGAAGATAGATTATACTACGACGTTATTTTATGTTTTAAAACAATTTTTGCAAAGTACGTAATATTAGCTCTTATCCAACTAGTGCAGAGAATGTCTCAGAATAAATGTTACAAACTTATAAGCATTCTGAGATGTGAAAATAATCATTTTTAGTAAATGTGTGATAATATAAAATAACGACGTTACATACGTGTAATTTGCCCTAGATATACAGACTTATCTGGTTTCTCCCAAGTACAGGAAATCTATTTGACGTTCCTGAAATTACCCAAAACATGTTCAGTTTCAAAAATTGATCATTTTGTACTCCACTACATACCATAGTCCTTTTTATTCAGGGACATCTCTATAATGGGCTAAAGAAAAATGACGGCTTTGTACGATTCATTATACATCTGCACAAAATCCGTAAGTGAGTACAATTAATCCTGGATTAGAGGTTATCCCCGTAAGCGCATTAAACAGATTAAGGGGATACATTTAGATTGTCGTAAGTATGATGTAAAGTAAACAGCATAGGCAAATGCAACCAGCCATGTTATTTGAATCATTCTCAGGCATAACTCGCAAATGATGCGTCCGAGGTCTTTGAAATCCGGTTTCCGTGACCAGAAACACATATAGTGCGCCAGGAAATTCTCCCCATACTGGCTATTTGTTGGTGAGTGTGCTTGCAACAGAAATTATGTTGGTAGCACAAGTCGTAGCTTGTAACATCATAAAATGTAAATTTCGTACTCTCTACAATCATTACGTATGTGGGAAGTGTTGTCCCTTTCACTTGTTTCCGAGTGATCTGGTTTCTACCTACTCATAAGCAATATTTAATAGGAGGATCTGACTCAGCCTAGTGCTGAGGGACTTTCCCGGAGCATTGTATTTAGAGTATTTAGTAGTATTTAGTTGTATTCCACGAAATTAGGCTTTAGAGAAACTTTTTGAGTTTTTTAATTCATTATTTTTTCCCTACTATTCGTTTATTTGCAAAAGTGATCACTTTTGACTCGTCTTCATATCCTGGGAGTTTGTAATATTAACTTTTCTGTAATATTCTTAAAAACATATTTCAATTCTATTATTTGAGGACCGAAGCATTAACAAAATGTGAAAAAAATTCCCATGTTCTTATTTGCGTCGCTAGGTAGCTGCTGGGAAGATGGTTGGGCAATACGGGAAGAACTATCCTAGACTAAAGAGATTAGAGAACTAATTAGCGCCAGAAAGTCTGTGCCATTCTGTAGTTTCCTCTTTTTAATGAATTGCTAAATATCACCAAAGGATTGGGAGAATAATTTAAGTACATTTACTAGATGAGGGGATATACTTCAAGGATAGACTAGTGTCTCATTCATTATGTCATTTCATTAATGAATATTTCAGAAGATACCTGTGAAGATCGTCTCTCCATTATTTTGTGATCAAATAACAGGAGGATATTCGTCATGATAACATGGCAATTTTGTTATTTTAGTGTAATATCAAAATACCAATTTGGCTTGCATACTTGTCTAATAAGATTTATTTTATCGTTTACATCTTGGAGAAGATTATGAAAACTATTCTTTTATTTTCTTATTTGCTTGCAGATGACGCTATCTTCTGGACAGCAGGCTCTTACGTTTTCAATATAAAACAGTGGTGTGGCATTAAACGTAAGTGTCATGAAAAGTGTTTTTAACTTGTTAGTGAATATAGTTACTTCAAATTAGAACAACAAAAGCTCAGAAAGTTCATTTTGAGATAATTCTATTTATAACGTTTGATTTCATATGAAAAAGAAACTGTTGAGTTTTCCAAAAAAATTATTGTTTCAGCAAATATGTACCAAGTCATTCAAATATTTTCTGAGGAATAATCGCAATAAAATTATTAATGATGTCTTATAATTTTAAATGAATTGTGGACTTGTAGTATTTTTGTATTAAATATTCCAACTAAATTTCATGCAAAATAACAATGTATTACCAAAAACACATATTATTGTTGTAAGAGTGCACATAAATAATATAACTTGGGTTCGTCAAAATTTCTAGTATAATATTTAAACTCAGTTCGTTTATTATACTCTTTTCCTTTTCAACATGTTTTTGTGAACAGGTTGTTTTTTGACGTTCAATTCACTCGGCATAAACTTCACAGAATGTGATGTGTAGTGTAGAACTTTCGTTGGGAAGGATTTGTTTTCATTGGAAAGGATTTCGTTGGAAATGATGAAAATTCATTTATTTTAGCAAGATTTTCGTACTTGACAGCATGAGGTCGGTTAATATTCTTTCCTCTTCCATCGTTTGGGGATAGATCCGTCCGCGAGGACATTTCTTCCCGTTGTTGCTGAAGGGACTGTTTCTCTCCAAAGTACTTTTTCTTTATTCTTTCTCCGTCTGATTCAGACATCCGTCGAGTAGTTGTGTAGGGGCGGTGTCCCATCACATTTGACGTAATATTTCAACTTTCTCTAGCGGCATGCTTCCGCGAAGTGATAGTTTTTAGAACTTTGTGACGTAACTGCTAAATGTCCGGCCGCTTCTAAGCTTAAGGCGTGGCGTCGGCAGCTCAACCATACGCTTAAATTGCCCTCGTTTGCACAGACAAGGCACACTGGCAAGTGCTTTTATTTGTCAATTTCCTTTGAAAGCTCTTTTGTGACAGTCCGGCGTAACACTGACCATTCTGGTGGCACCAGATAGAGTGTCTGGGTATAGCTTTCTTTCTGCAATTTCAATCTCGTATTGTTGGTACACTGTCCTAGACACCCTACGAGTTTGGATTCATTCGGGTTATTCTTTCTGGGTTCGCTTGATGTCTGCAGGCACGTCACCTGTAGAGCCATTTGTGTCCAGAATGTGTTCTCACCAGAGCTGGCGGCGATTCCTCACCCGCTGGATGGAGAAATCCGGTGCCGACCTTCAGGTCGGATTGCGGGGAAATTCCACTCTAGACACTCCCCACTCCCCCAGAGCGGAACCGCTCCCGCCCCAGCCGGGACAAGCTTTAAGCTCTCGACCCGTCTTCCGACATGTGATAGCATTGCGCTTGTAAGTGTAAATGGTTGTATGGAAGATGAGAGTGCAGAACAACGAACAGGAAGGAAGGACCGCGCGCATTCCGTGTCCTGTTTTTAAGGAACTGCCCTTGCATTCGCATGGTATTGATAAAAAAACACGTAAACTTATTAGAGTACCCGCCACTAGAATTCTTCTCCAGGCAGCGGCTAATTTCCACTTAGGTACCGAGTGTGAAATCATTCATTCTGAGTGTTGCAGTTGTCACCAATATCAGGGTTTGCTTTGCCTTGCCTTTGTTCAAGCTCACATAATTTTTTGTTTCTCACTTTCGGAGTTCACTTCACGACCGTAGATCTCTTGATTTGCAAGATCTACCCAACAAATAAACTAGTAGTGGTACAGATTGGCACAGACAAACTCATGTTTGTTTGTAGTCTCTGTTGAACGGGTAAGCTATTCTGGTTTGTCCCGCTCTCTTCCCAAATATTATCTATTGGCGCCTAAAATAGATTTTTTACTTTCTCGCCTTATTTCTTTAGAAGAGAAAGTATTGTAATTTTGCCCCGAAATTCGATGATTTTTTGACAGAAAAAAACTTATTGGAGGACTCTGGTAATGAAAAAGTGTTTATATCCTGTTCTTGTATATAGTAAATTACTTTCTCTTGCATGTTGAGTAGTAATAATTCATGTTTTGTGAGTCTTCGATACCAAAAAATCGATTGCCGACGAACGGTCTTTCTGTTTCGCCGTTGGTCTGTCTGTCGTTAACGCTAGGGCTTAGCCCTATACTGTTTCTCAAAAGATTATCTCCAAAATTTATATATGCGATCGATTTGAACAAGCTCAAGTCATTGGAGTTTCAAACGAATATATTAATTTTTGGAGGTACTTTACATAAAGTTACATTTTCAAAATGTTCATATTTTTTATTGCATTGGTTCTCAGATTGCATAAAGGGCGCTAAAGAGAATGGCTCAGTCTCATATCTAAAATCACTGATTTTTCGAAAATTACACAAGTTCAAATTTTTACTACCAGATCATTGACGATAGAGAATTTTCTACTGAATAACGTTTGTTGTTAAAAGTCAGATCTTAAAATAATTTTCGGTTCTTCAAAAATATGAATTGTTTTTTAATAACTTTGCATGCAATACTGACAATTTTTCAGCAATTATTTTCTCCAAAACGTATCCAAATGTTTCTCTAAATTTTTTACAGGCATAATTTTCGTTGAACTCTTAGTTTTGTTAATTGCTTAAGTTAGAAATAATGCGAGAAAGTGTGTGCTGGTGTTCCACCACTAATTTTAATTGTAATGAATTTTAAAGATAAGCGCCACAACTAGGGATTGAAACTAACGTTGTATGCAATAACAGTCCATGCAGAAAATTCATCTGATGAGTGGTGGAGTTTCGTGTTATTTCTGCTCTGCTGGTTGTGGAACTCGGCCGCAGACGAGTTGGCCCTCGCTGCGGTTCTGTAGCGGGCATTGCAAAATCGCTCCAGTAGCCAGACTTCGCGCCACGCTGCTGAATATAACATTGAATATTCATAGGAATTAAACACTCACTCGTATCTCTAAAAGAAGCAGGAGAAGAAATACGAAACTACTCTCCCGCTTGATTTTCTTTTCTTTCCGAACTTCCCCATGCGTACAGTGCATACCTGCATAGTGTCTTTTTAAGCCAAATGGCCTCACTAGCTTTCGTAAACATTTGTGTCGTAAATACGGAGTATGTTTTCGGAAAACCGTTTTAATTTCTCTATCACGTTGTGTAATCGGAATACATGTTTAGTGGGACCTTGATACCGAAAAAATGACTGCAAAACTTCTGCCCGTAGTTCTAGTCTGTCAGTCAGTGTGGTCAATGCTAGCGCCTAAATTGTTTAAACGATTTTCTCCAAAATTAATATTCCACGATCTACTTGAACGAACTGGAGGCCCTTCAGTTTGAAATGTATACTTTGCTTTTTGAGGGTAATTTACGTGAAGCCTAAAAACATTTTCCAATTTTTCTCAAATATTACTCCAAATTTTTGTATTAAACTTTACCCTCGGATAGCTTAATGATCTCTCAAGCATTAGAGCATGATTTATTTTCATTGAAATCTGTGCATTTTTTCAATGTACAAATTTCTACATTTTTTTGCTTCTACCTACAACTACTATATTCAAAATACAGATTTGTTCCTGAATGAAATCTGGGGTTCAAAGACAGATCTTGAAATAAGGTGAGGTACATTGTTTCACAAATATGAGTAGTTTTCACGTAATCTTGCGGGAAATATACGCCATTTGTAAGCATATATTTTCTTAAAAATGCCTCAAATTTGGCTCAAATGGCTTAAAGTTTTCCTTCGTATGTGTCAAGGAAGGTACAAAATTAGTGATGGTACCATTGTAGGCAAACTCTCTGTATTTTTGAAAATTGCAATAATATTAACATTGCAAAAATACAATATTGATGGGAGAAATTTTTCGTTAAATGAAATGAGATTAAAAAAATATCTTTAAGAAAGGTAATGTACAACTTTAATTTTACACGTTACTTTTTTTACATGACCATGAGTGCGAGTTCTTGGCGCGAGAGCCCGCTACGAGCATTGGCCGACTAGCGGAGGCCCAGTGTCTCGAACATGGGGTAAGGGGTTCGTGTGGTTAGCATGAAGACATCCCTTCGCCGTATATGCTAGTCTTCGTAACCTTAGAGTGGACTTTCACGTAGTAACACAGCAATAGATACTGAGACATTTGTAAGGAAAGCATACAGTTATAATTTTGCCCCGGCTGGGCACCGAACCCGGGATTGTGCGGTGGAAAGTGAGCACACTAACCAACGAGCCACCCGAGAGCGTTGCATGAGTAGTTTGGCATATTTCATTTTCTTTGAATTTACACATTCGAATTTCCCGCATTTGCGCTAGAATCTATCAGGAGTTGGGTCGCAATACAACATTAAGAATACCGTGACATGGGAGTTTGTAATACTCAGAATAATTTCTCGCTTGAGTGAGGCGTCTCTGAGTGATTGGAAAGAAGTTTTGAATTATCGAATTTGTGTTGAATTTCGATTTATCGAAAGTGATTATCGACTTTGTTTTGTGGCATATTACCTTTAAATTAATTCAATTTTTGCGTCTCATGCGCCACGATTGCTAATGAGATTTACAACTGCTGTCTTCGATGTGTTAATATGGGCAGAAATTGCTATATTACAATTTTACGTAAACGTTTCTAAGGCGAGAAAGTACATACTGTTGTAGAACCACATGCCAGTGTTCGCATTTCTTGTAATGGTAAGAATTTGTGCATCGTGGTCACAGTAGCCAAAGTCTTTCGTTACAATTTCTTCTCTAGAATAAGTTTTATTAATTGTTATATGATCGATTGCCTTCTTCAAATTAAGTATGACCCATGTAGGTAAATGTATTGTAATACCTAAACTGAAGGAATTAATTACATTAAGAAATTGTTGTTGTTTTTTTGGCAAGACTGAACCAGAAAATCAATGTTTAAATCTCTCTCACATATATTACATTCAAAGAGGCAAATTTTGGCTTTGTTTAGAGTCATCGCTATTTTTTTCTGAGAATGTGATACAAGCTTTAGCTCGCATTGGTGGATGCTTGGAGATTCATATAT